AGGAGTGATTCTAACACCCTCCCCTGGCTTCTCAGGGCACTTGCGCCCACATGTGAGTGCACACACACGACATGTGTACACACACTTAATTACAGAAAAAAAATCTTTAGGGGCTGGAGAGATGACTCCGCAGTTAAAAGCAGACAGTGCTCGGGCTGAAGTCCTGAGTTCAGCTTCCGGCACTCAGGCTGGAGAGCTCACCACTGCCTGGAACTCAGCTCTGGGGGGGACTCTGACACCCTCTTTTGACTTCCTTGGGCACTTACACTCAACTACACACCCCTAACACATGCATACATAGTTAAAAATAAATAGAAAAGAAAATCTAAAAAAAAAAAAGTCATAACAACAAGCCTATAATTCAGATGTTAGTACCTGCTGTAGAGAGCTGTCACCAGAGCACAGACGGATAGAAGCATTTCCTGCGGGCAGAGAGCAGCAGAACGCTTCAGATCCAGGCTCTTCAGCCAAGGCCTACACTTATTTTAACTACTCTGCACGTGGTGCCATTAACATGCAGATTATTTCTACAAAATATACCCAAAACTGGCTAACAAGATTCTCACATACATTTTACAAACAAGGATACCTTTTTTGGTTATCTTAAGAATAAATTATGTCCTCTTTATTGACTCTATAATGCAAGTTTTTATGGGAGAGAAGGAACTAGAGGAGGCTGACTATCGGAGAAAAAAACATCTACACAGATATTGGAGAGATTTTTCTAGACTTGGATTTTGGAGCCAGATGTTTATGTTTTAGTATTTTTTGCCCCAGAGATTTCCACAGGCCAACAAAAGAACATCATGAGAATAAAGACCCCAGAAGCTGGAAGAAGACAGACCCCAGAGAACCAGGCCAGTGATAGGAGGGGCACGGGGAGCCCTACACACCTCTGTAGCTTCTGGTGGGTTTCCATCACCAGTCATAAAGTGCAAGGAGACCAGAAAAAGCAAACATACAAAGATATGTTCCCTGCGTCTAAAGTAGTGGAAATGTACAATTTATCGTCTCAGATGAGGTGAGTATCTCCAGACCTTTTTTTATGATGCTGGCGGCAGGTCAGAAAGCCAGTCTGGTTTGCCAGTAGCAGCTTGGCAGCCTCTGCCAGTAGGGGGCGCTGAACTAGCCAGACCGGAGGAGGGACTTCCGGTTCTCTTCCTAGTTCCTGTTTCTGTGAGCATCTCCATGTCAACGCCTGCTGACCTCTTAGAGGCCGTTCGTTTTATTTTTGTGCCTGCACTATGACCAGTTCACAGGAACGACCCCCGCTGCCTCTAAGAGGTCTGGATCTCAGTCTAGGGTCCCGGAGCTTAGACAGCAACCTCAGCTCTAGCTGAGCAATGGCCCCTTTCTCGGAGGTCTGAGTTTAAGCTTCTAGGGGCTCTCTGTCCAAATTTCAGTTTGGCAGTTCTCCGTTTCTTGATTTCTCCAGCCAAGGAGTGGCAAAGCAGTCCCTACTTCCAATGGTGCCTGCCTGAATATCACCCCCATATTCGTTGTTACTTTAAACCTAGATCCTTTGGGGTTGGGGGTACTGGTGATCAAACCCAGAACTTCACATATTCCACGCAAGCACTCCACCGCAGATCTGTACTCCCCACGTCCTAGATAAATTCCTTACATTCAGTTATTTTCTTCGGACATTTGCCAGGGAACCTTTGTTAGGGGTAGCTGGGGGTGGGGCAAATGTCAGCAGTTCAGAGATGTCTCCCACCCTTTATTGCAAAAACCACATCTGAGGTGCTCAGTGGAGCCCAACATCCCCTAGTGTGACCCGTTCTCCAGACTGTGAGCAGCATTGCTGTCAGATGTCATAGTGATGGAGGTCTACTCTGGGTGGCTGTGGGTAGTTCTGTGACCTACGGGTTCCTACGGCCACCACAGGCACACATAAGGGACTTCTGACTTTGAACAAATAATATTTTCAAATTACTGAGCATTGTGCGAGGTAGAGAGTTTTATTATGACAATTCATGTATACATAATGTACTTCGATCCTATTCATGTATGACTCCATCTTTCCCCCACATTCTCTTTCCCCTTCCATAGTCTTATGGCCCCTTGTCACAATCATAAACCCCTGTTCTGCAGCCCCTCCCCGTGCCCGAGTACACAGGAGAGTACACAGGAGAGTACACAGGAGAGTACACATGCTGTACCCAACTCCTTTTCTGCTCATCTATCAATAGACATCTAGGTGGATCCCTTATATTGGCTGTTGTAAACTGTGCTCCAATAAACATGAGTCCGCAAGTATCTCCATGGTAAGCTGACTTGGGTACCTTCGCGTGGATACTCAGAAATGGTATAACTGGGTCACATAGAGGTTCCTTTTTATTCTTTTGAGAAATCGGCATACTCATTCCCATAGTGGCTGGACTAGTTTACATTCCCACTATGAACGTACAAGGGTTCACCAACCCTACCAACATTTGTCTTTTTGTTTTTTAAATAGCTATTTATGCTGACTGGAGTAAGACCGAATCTCAAAGACTTGCATTTCTCTGATAGCTAAGAAATGGCAACGTTTTCTCATGCATTTATTGGCTATTTGTGTTTCTTAATTAAAAATTGTGAAGTTCATTTGCCCATTTGTTGATTGGATTATTTATTGCTGAATTTCTTTTTAAAGATTTATTTTATTTTTAAAGATTTATTTATTTGTTATGTATAGTGTTCTGCCTGCACGTATGCCTGCAGGCCAGAACAGGGCGCCATATCTCATTATAGATGGTTGTGAATCATGATGTGGTTGTTGGGAATTGAACTCAGGACTTCTGTTTCTTTTTTTTAATGTATTTATTTATTATATGTACACTTTCCAGGATACAGTGCCAGATCTCATTACAGATGGTTGTGAGCCATCATGTGGTTGCTGGGAATTGAACTCAGGACCTCTGGAAGAGCAGCCAGTGCTCTTAACCTCTGAGCCATCTCTCCAGTCCCGAACTCAGGACTTCTGGAATAGCACCCAGTGCTCTTAATCTCTGCAACCCCCTTAAAGTTTTATTTTTCTTTTATGTATATGTGTGTGTTTGTGTGAGTGTAAGTCATGTAAGTACAGGTACCCTTGGAGGCCAGAAGAAGGCAGTGGATCCCATGGAGCTGAAGTTACAGGCAGCTGTGGGTGCTGGAATCCAAACCAAACTCTGGTCCTCTTCAGGAGTAGCAAGTAATCTTAACAACTGAGCCAACTTTCCAGACCCCATGCAGAAGCTTTTTAATGTAATCCTGTTTGTTAATTTCTGGTCTTATTTCCAAAACCTTGAAGCGGTGCTCTTATGTTTTCCCCTAGTAGTTCCAAAGTTTCAGGTCTTGCAGGAAGGCATCTGACCTGCTTTGAGATGGGGTGGTTTTTGCACAGGAGGTGGCTTTTGCACAGGGGGATGGTATTTGCACAGTGCTGCTTGTGAAAGAGGTTGTCTTCTCTGCAGTGCATGTGTTTGGCCCCTTTATCAAGAATCAAGATTATAATTTTAGTGTCATTTTTATTGTTTTTGTTTGTTTGTTTGTTTTGTTTTGAAACAGGGTCTCTATCTAGCCCTGATTGTACTGGGACTTGCTATGTAGACCAAGCTGGTCCACCTGCCTCCGCCTCCAGTGCTCTGGGATTAAAGGTGTGTCCATCACACCCAGATCAATGTAGATTTATTTTTAAGTCTTCTGTTCCCTTGCTCCGCGTGTCTGTTTTCATGCTAGGAGCATGCTAGGTTTGTCACAATGCTCTGTAGTGTTCTTTGAAGCCGTGTACTCGAGACTTCTAGTACAGCTTTCTATTCCTCACTGTGGGATTGCTTTGGCTATTTGGAGTATTCTGTATTTCTATATAAATTTTAGAGCTCTCCCTCATTTCTCTTTAGGATTCCATTCAGGTTTAGATGACGATTTCAAAGAATTTGTAGATCATTTTTCTAAAGAGCCATTTTGTCGATATTCTGCTAAACGTGTGAAGTGTTTCTTTCTATTTCCAAGTGTCTTTCTTTCTTCAGTGTTAGGTCTCAGTCAGCCCATATGTAGGCGTCAGCCTATCCCGTGTCTAGAATTGAGCACAAGCTGGATTCCTGATGGTTAGTTAAAAAGCCAGCATCCCTCAGAAACTTGTGAAGCCTGATTCAAATCTGCCAACAGGAGTCTTGCCCTTATTTCTGCAGAAAGGACATACCCGTGGTTGCATATCCAAGCCCATGCTGGCCCCCAGGCTCTAGGTCGCCGTTCACAAGGACGTGTTACGTATTCTCACCTTCCCTCCTCTTTAAAAAGGAACAAGATTTTCTCTTCTGCCTTGCTATTCACCTTTCTCTACAAAAAGTCCATTAGTTTTTCTTAGCTCTGAATTCTTCCAGATGTATCTAGTTATTTTCTTTGTCATGGCCATGTCCAGCCTGCTTTCTTTTCTCTCTGCTCTGGATTCTGGAGGTTTTCTCTCCCTCTTATGTACAATAAAAAGCCTTCCCCTTAACCACACCATGGAGCTGTCATGGCAGCAGTTTTTCTTCTCCTTCCTTCCTTCCTTCCTTCCTTCCTTCCTTCCTTCCTTCCTTCCTTCCTTCCTTCCTTCCTTCCTTCTTTCCTTCCTCCTTCCCTCCCTCCCTTCCTCCCTCCCTTTCTTCCTTCCTGTTAGAAAAGAAGTAATTCTATTTTTAAAATTTATTAACTTATTTCTACTTTTATGTGCATTAGTGTTTTGCCTGCATGTATGTGTGAGGGAGGGTGTTGGAGTCTGGAGTTACAGTCAGCTGTGAGCTGCCATGTGGGTGCTGGGAACTGAACCTGGGTCCTCTGGAAGAGCAGTCAGTGCTCTTAATCACTGAGCCATCTCTCCAGCCCACCTACAGTTTCTTAATTGTGTCCTCTCGCATACATCTGGTGCTGAAACCCTAGCCCCCCCCCCCTCTCTCTCCCTCCCTCCCTCCCTCCCCCTCCCTCTCCCTCCCTCCCTTCTTGCCCCTCCTTTCCCCTCCCCATGCTGGCCTTGCACTCATAGAGCTCCACCGGCTTCTGCCTCCTGCATTGATTTGTTTGTTTTTGAGGCTGTTATGATTGGTACTGGCTTCCATGCACGATGAGTTGTTGGTGCATAGAAAAGCCCCTGATTTGTTGTTGATTTTGTGTCTTCCTCCTTTGTGAGTTTCAGGTCTTGAATGTGTAGGGGGGCATCACTTGAAAACAGGAAATTTGATTTCTTTTTTGATTTGTATCTTTTTATTTCTTCCTCTTGACTAAGCAGGAACTGTTTTCAAGGGTGAACTGGTTTTTGTGTGTGCGTGCATGCGAGCGTGTGTGTGTGTGTGTAAAATAAAAAAAAAGTCTTTGTATATTTTTAGTGTCTTTGCCTCCTGAGGTGTTGCAGGCACAGGAAGAGTGACATTTTTACTTCCAAATCAAAGAAGCCTGGTACATCTGTGTGTTGGGTGGGAGAGAAAAGGGCTGGCAATTCTTGCATTGGTGAATAGTGTCAGGGCAGGCGTGCATTGGCAGAAACGGGGCTCTTCCGGCTGAAATATTTTCTTGCTTTCTCAGATGCAGCCAGGTTTTTTTCCCCTTCCTTCTTCACCTCCCAGAATGATTCGTGCTTGAGAATACAGACCTGAATGGTTTACTTAAGTTCACTCCCCTTTCTGAAATCAGGAAGTCCAAAGGTGAGTGACAGAAGCACCTGGTGCTCTCTCCTTCGCATAGGTTTAAGAGGAGGCTGGATGCGCTCTTTGGATGTCTGGTGAACATCAGCAAATACATACTGGAAGGTAAGAAGGGAAGGACTTTAGTGTTAATATTTATCCACACAGAACCAAACTAGCCTTCAGTCCACAGACTCACAGAGTTGGAGAATGCTCCCCTGAGCAGCCAAGAAGCTAAAAAAGGTGGGTGTCCTTCATTTCTTTCTTCCTATATCTTACCCTAAAAAGTTATTACTGAAGAGGATACAATCTTATATTCACAGAGAGAGGAGGCAGAGGAGAAGAACCTGCTGGAAGGATGTGTTATACTTTCAATTTTCTTTTGAGATTTTCTTCCCTTGTAAGTCTGGTTTTCTTTGATGGTATTCAATACCTTGTGTTGTATTTAAAAGGCAAGTATGGTTTGTGCAATAAGCATTAGGCTCAGAGAGAGAAAGACTCAGGAAGGCAGAGTGGAGGGATCTCTCTAGTCTTTTAACCTGTGATATTTGCTAGATACTCAGTTTCTGCTTTTCTGTCATAAAATGAGCCCAGTGATCTAGTTGGTTGTGAAGATTAAATGGGACAGTGTAAATCTCGTTCACAGACAACAGTAAATGATCTGTGTACACAATCATGCTCACGTCTGTGGAGAGATATATTTTAAACCTGATGTCAAATTTGACTGACCGCTGTTAATGTTTGGATAACATTGAGTTGCTTTATATCCCCCCCCCACACCCGCCGCCTTTTTCAAGACAGGGTCTCTCTCTTTCTGTACCCCAGGCTAGCCTGAAATTCATTATGTAGATAGGCTGGCCTCAAACTCAGAAATCTGCCTGCCTCTGTCTCTTGTGTGCTAGGATTAAAGGTGTGTGCTGCCTTGTCCGACTATTTAATAGTATCTGAGTATTGAATGCTAAAGGGTGAGGGGAGTCTTAACACAGAGATTAACAAACAGAAGCAAGTGTTGCCTTTTCAAGAGACTTGATTCTAGAACCTGATGCTAGAGTCAATTTCACGATTGTTTCCAAGCCCAGAAATTCTAGACCCCAGATAAAATTCCTCTCTACGGTTTCAAGGGTTGGGAAGAAGGAAAAGGGATGAAGGGTGGGGACTTCCTCCAGCTAATTGCACCTTTAACTCAGAGGGTCTGGCTCTGGCTTCCCTCTCCCCAGAGGTAAGGGTAGAGCTGGTTCTGGTAACAGTCTGGCTTTTTTAGGGCTATTCTAAGTCTCCCTCAGCAAACGTGGTGGATGGGATCCTTGCCCGATCTTTGATAAGCTGTTTCTCCAGAGAAGCAATCTCTTCTGCCACTAGTTTGGACATTGCTGGGAAGATGTTTAGTTAGTTTTTAATCAGAAGTTCTTTGTTCTGTTCAGCGAGTCCTCCGACCTCCTCTGCTGGGCAAGGCTGGACGGTCCCCCGCTGCAAAGATGATCTCATGTAGGAAGCTCTGTTGGCGCTATCATGTGTGGACCCTGGGCTGCTACATGCTGCTGGCCGTCATTGCTCTGAAACTGTCACTCAGACTGAAGTGTGACTTTGATGTCGTGGATCTGAACTCGAAGGAATTTCAAAGCCAGCACTGCAGGGACTTCCTGTACAAGACCCTGAAGCTGCCAGCAAAGAGGTCCATCAACTGTTCCGGGGTCACTCGAGGGGAGCAGAAAGCAGTGATCCAGGCTTTGCTGAATAACCTGGAGATTAAGAAGAAGCGGCAGCCCTTCACAGAGGCTGACTACCTTGGCATGACAGCAGACTGTGAGCAATTCAAGACCAAAAGGAAGTTCATACAGTTCTCGCTGAGTAAAGAAGAGGCCGACTTCCCCATTGCGTATTCCATGGTGGTTCATGAGAAGATCGAGAACTTTGAAAGGCTGCTGCGTGCTGTGTACGCCCCTCAAAACATATACTGTGTCCACGTGGATCAGAAGTCCCCAGAAACTTTCAAGCAGGCGGTCAGGGCCATTGTGTCATGCTTCCCAAATGTCTTTATAGCTAGTAAGCTGGTGTCAGTGGTCTATGCTTCCTGGTCCAGGGTACAGGCTGACCTGAACTGCATGGAAGACTTAGTCCAGAGCTCCGTGCCATGGAAATACCTCCTGAACACCTGTGGGACAGACTTTCCCATCAAGACCAATGCTGAGATGGTCCAGGCCCTCAAGCTATTGAACGGGCAGAACAGTATGGAGTCAGAGGTACCACCCCCACATAAAAGGTTTCGCTGGGAATATCACTATGAGGTGAAAGACACGTTGTACAATACCGGCAAGAGAAAGACCCCTCCGCCTTATAACATAACCATGTTTACTGGGAATGCCTACATGGTGGCTTCTCGAGACTTCATTGAACATGTATTAAACAACACCAAAGCCCAACAACTAATCGAATGGGCAAAAGACACCTACAGTCCTGATGAGCACCTTTGGGCCACCCTCCAGCGTGCCTCCTGGATGCCTGGATCAGCTCCCTTGCACCCCAAATTTGACCTCTCAGACATGAGAGCTATTGCAAGGCTAACCAAGTGGCAGGACCACGAGGGAGACATAGAGGATGGGGCGCCTTACACACCTTGTTCAGGAGTCCACCAGCGGGCTGTCTGTATTTATGGGTCTGGGGACCTGCACTGGATACTTCAGAACCATCACCTCTTGGCCAACAAGTTTGACCCAAAGGTGGATGATAATGTTCTTCAGTGTTTAGAGGAATATTTACGTCACAAAGCCATCTATGGGACAGAACTGTGAGACGGACTGCAAGACAATTGCTGCCTGTATGATGGGAAAACGCCAGGACTTACTGGGGCAAGGTGGGGTAGGCACCTGGGGCCCTGGACTCCATTGCCCGATAGAGTGAGGGGGCTGCTATTGGAGCCTGGGTAAGTAGATCTCTGCCCGCTGTGAGCTGCTGCTGGCGAATGTGGCTCTTCACCAGCCACTTTCTCCCCAAGAGCCCCTCTTCGGCTTGCTTCCTCAGAACCAGAACCAGAACTACTGTTATTTGGGAGAATAAGGTAGGAACACATGGCCAGGGACTCTAGATTTTGGGTGGAGGTTTCCTGTGAGGCTCTCTCCTGAGACTCTGTTTGAAATATTCCTGGGGTTTGTCGTGGGAAGGGAACTTTAGTGGAAAGAGCCCTCTCCTTTTGTACTGTTAACTTAAAATAAATAGTATCCAAACCAAAAAGTCCCATCCCTACAGTGTTATCTGTGAATCCAGAAACAATCTGAACAGATAAAATGGGTGAGGCTTTTCTCTTATGTGGAGGACGGTCTCAAGCGGCCGGCAGGAAAGTCTCCACGGCAAGCCGCGTAGATGGCAAACTGAATCACAGAGCTAATTCTCTCATTATAGAAAGCCTTCCTAATTTTGTTTACATTGGCACATCCTGACTTTTCCGTAAGGGGAAGGACAGAGTGATTTAACTTTCTCGACCACTATTGTCTTAGGAGAAACGCAAGGTAGCGTCACGGCCAAGGCTAACCACCCTGTACCAGTGGCCTTTTCGCTGGAGTACATTTTGGTGGGGGAGAGGCTGCCCTGTTAATGATTAGTCTGGGAAGTGAAAGTAAGCTCTGTCTTGCTAAACCAAGATGCCTGAGTGTTTTGTGCTTAAACCTCGTGAATCAAGTGAATCAAAGCTGCTTTCTTTCATGACGGGAGCATCAGGCTCACTGTGTGCCACTCTGTCGGTCATGCATGTCCTTGTGGGGGACACAGGAACGTGTGTAAATATACATGTATAAATGCTGAAGTATGTAAATTTACAGGCATACACTCCCCTGTGCAACCTCTTCCTCTCTGAAGACCCAGCGTTATTCTAGTCTGTAATGACCAAGGGGCACTAAAAACGATAGGCGGAACCTTTGACTGTGGTGTAGCTGACTTTCTGTGTCCCAGAAGAGGTATTCATGTACAAGTTAACTCGTGACATTTGAATGAGCCTCTCGTCAATATGTTACGATGGTAACTTGTCTGTTCATAACAAGTCTTGATCCAGTTAAGGCTTTCTCTCCTCAGCCAGCGTTTACTGTAGCCCACATCTCTTAACAGTTAGTGTGTGACTGGAATTTCTTTCTTTTCTTCTTTTGGTTTTGAGGCAGGGTTTCTCCACACAGCCCTGGTGTCCCGGAACTAGCTCTGTAGTCTAGGTTGGCCTTGAGATCCACCTGCCTCTGGCTCCCCAGTGCTGGAAGGGGTGCATCACCATGCTGGTGGAATTTTCTATTTCAAAGTGAGCAATCAATTTCCTTTAAAAAAAAAAAAAAAGATTGACTTCCCTGGGTAATGGGTATTGTCACTACAAACTTAGCCAACACTGTAATATTGAGTCCTTTGCCTCTTGCTCCCAGCCTTACCTCAAAGGTGACTGGTGGGTGGTTACAGGCTTGGTGAAATCTGTTGTCAGCAGTGACTATTCCTGGCCCTTCCCGGAGGAGGAAGGAAGAGGGGCTGTGGCCCTGTGGGATGTGTGGAGGAACACCTCGCAGAAGACACGTCTTCATGGCCAAGCTTCTCTAAAAGCTTTCATATAACTGAACTGTAGCTTTTCATAGAAATTCATTCAAGCTATTGGTCTGTGGACTTGTCATTTCTGGGGAAACAAGTTTCTAGAACTTTCCAGGATTAAAATTTTCTCTAGAAAATGAATGAGTTAGGTGGACGGAAGTAGGATTTTTGTTTGTTTGTTTGATGAGGTCATCAAACTAGAAGAAGCAAACTTCACCTTGCCTAGTGGACTTTCAAGGTCACATGGGAAAGCCAGCACGTCTGTTCATTTTTCCTTTTTGAGTCTTATCTGTTTCTTTAACCTTTCTCTGGAAAGAAAAAGCCTCGTGAATGAATTGAGCTATTATGCTTGTGCCAACTTCCAAGACTTACATTCCCTCCCCACTCCAGTTGTTTGGTTATCACTGAGCTATATTCTAATAACTGGGTCTTTGTTGCATGTGCTTGCTCATTGCATTTGCTCTTGGTTTAATGAAACTTTACTGAGAGAAGAAAAAGCAGTTGCTAACTTTGGGGCATATAGTTTAGTTGGAGGTAAGCTGTTTAGGAATGGAGAGACTAATATCTTGTCTATTTAAAGTATCGTCACTGAGTAAACCAAAGATCTCTCGTTATGTGTTCTACTTAGTCATTATTTATTGCAAAGGTGAATAAGTTATGAGCCTCATTTTTATAAATCTTGATGTACTGACACCAATAAAATAATTCATTCCAAACATATGAACGGAGTTCTTTTTATTTATCACACATTGTTATTGAATTTTTTATTACATTTATTCATTTGTGTGTGTAGGGACGGGTGGTGGGACACACACACATGCCATGGCTTCGGTGAGGTGGTTAGGAGACAATTTGGGGGAGTAGGATTGAACTCAGGTTACGAGGCTTTGTGGCAAGACCTGCTTAGCCATCATGCTGGCCCTCATATGGTTAATGACACTGGGAATACAGCAGTTAACAAAATGTGAAAATTCCCACACTCTCATTATTCATTATCAAAAGTGCTAGAGAAAAACGGAAGGAAGTGATGGAGACCTAGGGAAAGTAGGGTGCAGTAGTGTGAGGCTGCTTAATATTTTACAAGGTAATCAAGAAGGCCCCCAGTGAAAATGGTACTTTCTGGAAGAGGTCTGAAGGAGACAAGGGAGTGAGTCATGGGGATTAATGAAAGAAGAACATTCTAGATCAAGAGGAGAGTCTTGCAAGGCCTTGCAGCAGAAACACACTTGCTAAGTTTCAGAACATCAAGGAAGCTAATTTTCATGGGATGGAGAGGAAGATGGTTTGGATACCTTATAAAGAAAAGGGATTTATTAGTTTAGCAATTGAGCAGCCTCATCAATTTGGTCTCTGGGGAGGGTCTTACTGGCTGCATCAGATCGTGATGGATAGCATCATGGTGGGAACACAGAGGGAGAGAACAGATGGTGAGACAGGAAGCCAGAGCGAGGGACACGGGCCAATCTTGTTCTTTTATAACAAGCCTTTTCTAGGCTTAACAGAGGCCTCATAAATGACATCAATTTCTCCTGATGAGAGGGAGCCAGTGCTCCACCTCTCACAGCATCTACTGCCCTTTATATCACCACACTGGGGACCAATTTTGCAACATGTGAACAAATGAGTGACACACTCAAACCATGGCAAGACCACAAAGGAGTAAACACAGAAGAAACCACCAGAGATGTTTTGCTAGGCTGGATAACCAGCAACCCCCAGGGAGCCTCCTGTCTCTGCTTCTCCAGTGCTCGGATTATAGGTTCATACCACAATATCTGACCTTCCTTCCTTCCTTCCTTCCTTCCTTCCTTCCTTCCTTCCTTCCTTCCTTCCTTCCTTCCTTCCTTCCTTCTTTCCTTCCTTCCTTCCTTTTTAATGTGTGTATTGGAGATCAAACTCAGGTTCTCTGTAGGAGCAGGACATGCTCTTAACCACTGAGCAACCTCTTCAGCCCAAAAGAATAGTTTTAAAGGCAGTTTCTCCTAAACTTAAATTTCAGGAACATCACAGACTTAGAAGTTGGACAATAATCAGTAGAGTGTACAGTGATCCAGAGAGCTAAGCCCATTGGATTCTTTCCATCTTTTCAAAAGCTCTTGCACCTTTTCAAAAGTAAAGCACCTTGCTTACCCCCAATCCCAGGCAGATTTTATTCACCTATGTACTCAGAAAAATAAAACTTTTTTTTATTACATCTTGCAAAAAATAGGCACATGAGGTGTTGTGTGTGTGTGTGTGTGTGTGTGTGTGTTTTTTACCAAAGTAGAGGGCATTTTTAGAATGGATTAACAAAATCAACTTATGCTGGAGCCCCCTGGAATAAAACAGTAGCAGATAGCAAGCAGTTATGTAGAATAACCTTATACATGTTGTGATAGTAATATAATGTGGTCAGAGAGAAAGCAAGCCCTAAGCACTTTAGGCTAAATGCTGTAGATTGCACTTACTGGTGTGCATATAGCTCAGGTGGTAGAGCACCCCACTAGAATGCATGAAATCCTGTGTTAGATCCCCAGGATTACATAAACCAGGTGTAGTGCTGCACACCTGCCACTTGGGAAGTGAAGGGAGAAGGTTCAGATCAGGGTCATTCTCTGCTAGTTTCAGGCCTAGTTTCAGGCCAGCCTGGACTACAAGAGACTGTAAGAAAAAAAGTGCTGAAAGAGTTTAATGAGTATTGTGAATTCCATGTACTTATTACTATTTCAACAACTATCAATTAATGGTCAGTTTTAATATCCACTCCTCCTCCTTTATGCTTTCTGAAATGGTAGATGCTATACCTTAAAAAAATTAGTAGTAAGAGCATATGGTAATCTAGTGGTGATGACAGAAGTTACGAAATAATCCCATACTAGTTCAGAATTATATATAACTGACAGGCCATTTTCAGAGGCAGGAAAAATTTTCAGAACCATCTTACCCTGTCTTGGCAAGATTTGGCAGTCCTTTTCTTGTATCCTGCTTGTCCAGTCTGGACATCAGGCACTTTGTCAGTGGTCGAGGCATGGGCAGTTCCTTGCCCAAAGACCAGTTGTGCCAAGAAGAAATAAAACTCCAAGTGGAGTGTCTTTGGTGCTCAACACTCTCTTGGGAATAGATTGGTGATGCCAGGAGCAGACATATCTCACATCAACAGAATCCTGAGTTATTTAAATGCCATGTTCTACAGACCTTTGAAGTGGTTAAAGGTTACCTATCTATGCAGAATGAAATCTCTATGTATCTAAAAAACCTAATTAGTCTGATTAAAAGTATAACAAACATGAATGACTATTGACCTATAATACTTAATACCTATATAACTTAAAGATTAAGGCTGCATATCATAATATTAAACAATCTTTAAACAACTGTGCAGTAAAGGAGGACAATGACCTCACAATGTATAAATATCTTGATCAGAAGTAGAAATATATAATGCAATATGATAAATATATCCTAAAATTGTATCAATATACAAAATGTCTTAAACAGAGATAGAAACATGCATGCATAAAATCTGACAAAATAACTTTGCTTATGTGTACAAATATTGTAAATAGAAATAGGAGCATATTCAATACAATAACAAATATAATTTGAACTTGTATCAATATACAAAAATCTATACCAATGTAAATTGTCCATAAATAATAGTTTACATGTATTCATTCTATTATTATTAATGTAAGTTCACCCTAATCTACCTCTTATCCCAGTTTTCTTCTTTTTTTATTTCTCTGGGCCTATATAATTTCTACCTCAATCCCCAATCCTATACGAGTAATAATCAACCCCTAAATGGTGTCCCTAACCATGAGGACAAATTTTGTTGGGAGAGGGGACATCGTCTTCTAGAATTGCTTCCAGTTGACATGGGGGTAATGTTCTTTCTATGGGATCCTGTGAAAGTAAAATGATGGTTAAGTTTCAAGATTGCTGTTTTGTATAATTGCAAATGGTCTCTGAGTAGTCGATAGGGTTTTTCTGAAGTTCTTTTTTTTTAAATATTTATTTATTTATTATGTATACAATATTCTGTCTGTGTGTATGTCTGCAGGCCAGAAGAGGGCACCAGATCTCATTACAGATGGTTGTGAGCCACCATGTGGTTGCCGGGAATTGAACTCAGGACCTTTGGAAGAGCAGGCAATGCTCTTAACCACTGAGCCATCTCTCCAGCCTTTTCTGAAGTTCTTATGTGAAGTTCTGACCAGAATGTTGTAAAAATGTACACCATTTCTTTTTCTTTCTTTTTTTTTTCTTTCTTTCTTTCTTTTTTTTTTTTTTTTGGTTTTTCGAGACAGGGTTTCTCTGTAGCTTTTGGTGCCGGTCCTGGAACTAGCTCTTGTAGACCAGGCTGGCCTCGAACTCCCAGAGATCCGCCTGCCTCTGCCTCCCGAGTGCTGGGATTAAAGGCATGCGCCACCACTGCCTGGCAAAAGTGCACCATTTCTACAGCTGGCACCCAAAAACCAGTCTCATGGTAGCGCTATCAGCATCATGACATCATATCAACCAGGTGGAGTTGTTGTTGTGGGACCCCATCTCCTTTCTGGAAGTTTCAAAGATTACTGCAGGAAAATCTTCTCTTTATTGTTGAAAACAATTATTCATATAGACATATATTTAACATTATTCATATAGACATATATTCAACAAAAGATACGATATAGACAAAATGGGCATGGAGAAAAGTAAAATATTTCCTTAAAATCTATCTTCTTTCTGCCCCATACCAGATGGCTACTGATATGAGACAGAAATTCAGAATTTTTCTTTTAACAACATGCTTGGATTTAGAGAAGGATAGCCATTGTCCAACTCCAAAGCCAGCTCTGATTTTTAAGTAGAGATGTATATATGTCCAGATAATCAAATTTTACCATGTAGATGATACAGAGTCATAAGGCAGATTTCTCTTTGCTTGGTGATTCTTTCTGGATAGCTATCTTTTTCATCTTTAGGTATATAGATGTTGAAGGTCTCTCAACTCTTTGAAGATAAAGAGTTATTCTTTATCTTCAATCCCTTATGAGGTATTCTTACCACCTGCATGATCATCACCTCTGTGTGAGCTGTCATATTTCTTTCTCAAGAGGTTTCTCTTTTTCAAACTGAATCTTTATTCATTTTGATGGTATCCATAGCTTTTCTTCTCCTGTGGAAACAAGAGTGAAACCCCTTCCCCAACATAGCAAATTTCCTGGTTTCCATTGTGAGGTCAACACATCCTTGAAACATACTGGCTGGTTTAATTCAGAAGTTTATTTTCTATTATGCAATGTTTCTCCACTGCTGTTGTTCCTTTCTCATTAGTGTTAAGAAAATTCTAGGTTAATAAAGCATTATGCAATCTATTTCTGGGAGTATTTTCCATCTCCTTCTGTTTGTTTAGCATATTCTTTATAGTTTGATTTGAAGTTTCTATAACTGCCTGACCTGTATAATAAGCAAAAAACGGTTTCATTTTCTTAGACACATATGCTGGATCATTGTCTGTCTTTATTCGTGCAGGTATATCCACGATGGCAATAACTCCTAATAAATGTGTGCTTACTGAATCAGCTTTTCTGAGCTCAAGGCAGTGGCCCATTAAAAAACCTGAATACGTGTCAATGGTGTGTGTACATATTTTAATTTTCAAAATTCTGTAAAGTGGAACACATCCATCTGCCAGATCTCATTTCTTTGAATACCCTTTGGGTTACTTCCTGCAGGTAGTGGTGTTTGGTTATAAAAAGAGCATGTACGGAATCTCTTTATAATCTCCTTAGCTTGTTACCATGTAATAGAAAGCTCTTTCTTTAAACCTTTATTATCGACATGATTTTTCTTACGAAACTCTGAGGCCTTCAGCATACTTCTAGTCAATTATTGGTCAATTTCTGCATTACCTTGACCTGGCAGACCCGTATGGGATCGGATGTGTGTTATGTATATGGGACAAAGCCTATTCCTGATTATGTCTTGAGCATGAATGGATAATGAAGTCAATTCTGTATCATCTGATATAAATTCATCAGTTTATATATGCAAGACAACTCTTTCTTCATATTGCAAATCAGTAACTATATTGAGAGGTTCTTTAAAATACCTTAGTACTTTGAGAATAGCATATAATTCTGACTTCTGAACAGAATTATAAGGGCTTTGTTCCACCTTACTTAATTCTTCTGATTTGTAACCTGCGTTTCCTGATTTATTTGTATCAGTATAAAATGTACCTGCTCCAGTTTGTTGAAATAAGAGCGGCGGGGCTGCGTCCCCGGCACCCGGCCGGCGCATGGCTAGCTTATGCCCGAAATAATTACACGGAAACTGTATTCTTTCAAACACTGCCTGGCCCAGCTAGTTCCAGCTTCTTATTGGCTAGCTCTTACATATTGTTTTAACCCATTTCTAATATTCTGTGTAGCCCACAAGCTGGCTTACCAGGGAGGATCTTAACCTGCGTCTGTCTAGAGCGGGAGAATCATGGCGACTCCTCAACTCAGCTTCTTTTTCCCAGCATTCTCTTCTGTCTACTCTGCCTACCTAATTTTCTGTCCTATGAGGGCCGAGGCAGTTTCTTTATTATTACAAGACCCACCTCCATCACAGTTATTGGTATATCATGTACATTTTGGGGAAGAATCCAAGTAGTTCTCTTTATAAGGTTAATTCTATCACTTTTGGGATAATTGCTATTAATTTCTCCCCCCAAAATTAGCACAAGCTCTTTGCCATGGCTCATTGTCTTCCTATAATTTTTAAATTTCATCCATAGTAAAAGGCTGGGTCTTTATAATCTCTGCTGGGTCTATACCTGCTAGTTGAAAAAGTCTCAATTTTCCTTTTATAATTAATTCAGAGACTTTTTCCACATAAGCTTTTAATTTTTTCCCTTGGTTTATGCGGTAAAAAGATCCATTCCAAGATAATATCATCTCTCTGCATTAAAATTCCTGTAGGGGAAATTCTGGAAGGCAATATGACTAGAATACAATTAAGATTTGGATTCATTCTATCTACATGTGCCTTCTGTAATTTTTCTTCAACAACTGTCAATTCTTTTTTCGCGTCAGCTGTTAATTCCCTGGGAATATTCAAGTCTTTGTCATCATCTAAGGGTTTGTTTAAATGAACTATTAGATCAGGTGCTATCCCAACAGCCAGTCATAGACTGAAAATGTCTCCAAAAAAATCTTTGAAAGTTATTAAGAGTCTGCATTCAGTCTCTCCTAATTTGTACCTTTTGTGTTCTAATTTTCTGTAAACCTATTTTGTAACCTATGTAATTGAGAGGATCTCCTCTCTGTATTTTTTTTTTCAGGAGCAATTTATAGTTCCCATTTAGAAAACTTTCTTCTTCAAACATTCTTTCTAAAGTATCTGCATGTGAGTCAGATAACAAAATGTCATCCATGTAATGGTAAATTACACACTTAGGAAATTGATTACATATTATTTCCAATTGCTGACTTACAAATTACAAAGTATTGACACAGGGTGGGGCTATTGAGCATTCCTTGTGGGAGGATAGTCCACTGGTATCTCCCAGTAAGCTAAGAATTATTATAAGTAAAAACTGTGAAAACATTTTTTTTCTGTCCTTTTCTTGTAAAGGTGTAGTGAAGAAACAATCTTTTAAATCAATAATTATAAGAAGTCATCCTTTTGGTAATAGAGAAGGCAGAGGAATTCCAGATTGTAGAGGGCCCATAGGTTGAATAACAACTCTTAGATCTGTCATCATTCTCTATTTTCCAGATTTCTTTTTAACAACAAATCCAGGAGAATTCCAAGGGCTGGTTGATTCTTTAATATGGCAAACATCTAGTTGCTCTTTTACCAGCTGTTCTAAAGCCTGCAGTTTTTCTCCTGTTAAAGGCCGTTTTTTTAACCCATATGGGTTTCTCAGTTAATCATTTTAAAGGTTTGCTAGTTGATTTGTGTTCTTGTACAGCCTGAAGGCTGGTTACCTTTATAATATCTTATAATATCCTTCCCAGAAACATGAGTTTTTGGGACTACAGGAATGTTAACCTGGGATGAACCTCAGCTGCTCTGGAAGTGTTATTGGAGAAAAGAGGCAAAAATTTTAGAAGAACGGGAAAGCAAAAGGACTTGAGACTGCCCAAGATCAAATTCTTGTTGAGGGTCATTACTTTGATCCTCAGGAACAGGCTCACTATGATATATGCACCTTGTTCCTTTGTAGCACAGCAACTTTAAATGTTTAAGAAATGATTCAGGAATTAGGAAAGAGGACTGAGTCATATATTATGGTTAAACAGGGCCAGAGAGAACCCTTTACTGACTTCTTACAAAGATTAACTAAGGCTGTATAAGTAGGAGTGACAGACCCTGAAGCTAGATATGTACTTATTGAGTCTTTGGGTTTGAAAATGACAACTTAGAATGCAAGAAGATCCTGGGGCCTTTAAAGGTCAGATCAGCACCCATAGATGAATGGATCTTGCATACAATGAATGTTGAAACATTTGACTATAGCACTAAGGCTTGGGTAGGAGAAGCGATTTCCAGTGGTATGAGGAGACACCAAAATGCCAAATGTTTTGATTGTGGTAGACTAGGACATCTAAGAAGGGACTGTAGACAAGGAATTCCTAGAAATAATATCTCCTCTAAGAATGGCAAGAATAGGAGGACTCAGCCTTCTTGCTTGAAGCCCACGTTTTCACCATTTCCCTGAGAAAAGGTGAATGTAGTCCATAAGAAATTATTGCTTGTTTAATTTCTTTTAGATCACTCATAAGTATTGGTTCCCATGTATATTCTTTGACTACATTAGGGTACTTTGTGCCAGATGCTCTTTCTGAGGAAATTACAGGATATGCAGTTAAAACTCTGTGTAAGTCATCCTGGGGTCTGGCATGTACCAATGAGGCTAAATTCTGTCCTTGTACCTTCTGTCCCTGCTCATCAGTTTCAATAAATTCCTCAATCTTTTCAATTCTTTTTACTACTGCCTTTTGTGAAGTCTGAATCTCCTGTTCAGTGTTCTGTTTTAATGCCCTCATTGATGATTCCAAGGTATGAAACTTGTCCAGTAAAGATAACATCTCATCCTTGGACAAAAATTTTGATCGTGTGCATATTACCTTCCTGGAGAGATACCTTATCCATTAATTTGTCATAACTTTCCAACAGATTCTGATTGTTCAATTCAACAGCACAAATTCTTTCAGATAATTCTATCAAATTGATGCTATTCCTCTCCGTAGTATTGATCTTCTCAACTAGCTGTTCATTATTAGTCTGTTAAAACTGTATTATTTCTAACATGCCTCATTCTTGGCTCTGTTATCAAACCA